CACCCTTTTCAAGGCAACGGCGTTCCCATCCTGGGAAGGTCTCTTCTGGGTAAGTGCTATAACTATCATATTTCACAAAAGTAACGATCACTAACCTACGTTATTTACCAGGAACGTGCATCCGGTTTCGAAGAATCGATGAAGTTCAAGAAGCTCACCAACGCCCAGAGATCCGGTTTGAACCAGATCCCTAACCGTCGTTTCACCCTGTGGTGGTCTCCCACTATTAACCGTGCCAACGTGTACGTTGGTTTCCAGGTGCAATTGGATCTTACTGGTATCTTCTTGCACGGCAAGATTCCCACCTTGAAGATTTCGTTGATTCAGATCTTCCGTGCCCACTTGTGGCAGAAGATTCACGAGTCTGTTGTCATGGACTTGTGTCAAGTGTTCGACCAGGAGCTTCAGCAGCTGGGTATTGAAACTGTCCAGAAGGAGACTATTCACCCGCGTAAGTCGTACAAGATGAACAGCTCTTGCGCAGATATCTTGCTTTTCGCGACAAATAAGTGGAACGTCACCCGTCCTTCCGTGCTGTTTGATACCAAGGACGTCTACGAGCCAACCACGACGAACAAGTTCTGGCTTGACGTGCAGTTGAGATATGGTGATTACGACTCCCACGACATTGAGAGATATGTCCGTGCTAAGTATCTCGACTACACCACCGATAGCATGAGTATCTATCCTTCTGCTACCGGTTTGATGATTGGTATCGACCTTGCGTACAACTTGTATTCGGCATATGGCCAGTACTTCCCTGGTCTGAAGACCTTGATCCAGCAAGCCATGGCTAAGGTCATGAAGGCCAACCCTGCCTTGTATGTGCTGAGAGAACGTATCAGGAAGGGTCTGCAGCTCTATGCCTCGGAAAGCAACCAGGAGTTCCTGAACTCCCAGAACTATTCGGAGCTGTTCAGCCCGCAGATCCAGCTGTTCATTGACGATACCAATGTCTACCGTGTCACCATCCACAAGACCTTTGAAGGTAACCTGACGACCAAGCCCATCAACGGTGCCATCTTCATCTTCAACCCCAGAACTGGACAACTGTTCTTGAAGATCATCCACACCAGTGTCTGGGCAGGACAGAAGCGTCTGGGTCAATTGGCCAAGTGGAAGACGGCGGAAGAAGTGGCGGCTCTCATCCGGTCTTTGCCTGTTGAGGAACAGCCCAAGCAGCTGATTGTCACCCGTAAGGGTCTTTTGGATCCGTTGGAAGTCCACCTGCTGGATTTTCCTAACATCTCCATCCGTGCTTCCGAGCTCCAGCTTCCTTTCCAGGCCGCGATGAAGGTTGAGAAGCTTGCGGATATGATTCTTCGGGCGACGGAGCCTCAAATGGTCCTCTTTAACCTTTACGATGAGTGGTTGAAGTCTATTTCGCCTTACATCGCTTTCTCCCGTCTGATTCTCATTCTGAGAGCTCTTCATGTCAACATTGACAAGGCCAAGATTATTCTCAGACCCGACAAGAGTGTTATCACTCAGGAGCATCATATCTGGCCCTCGTTGTCGGATGAGGTCTGGATGAAGGTTGAAGTGCAGCTGCGTGATCTGATTCTCAACGATTATGGCAAGAAGAACAATGTCAACGTCCAGAGTCTGACCAGCAGCGAAGTTCGGGATATTATTCTCGGTATGGAGATCAGTGCGCCTTCTCTGCAACGGCAGCAGGCGGCCGAGATCGAGAAGCAACAGGAGGAGCAGAAGCAGCTCACGGCTGTTACGACGAAGACGCAGAACGTCCGTGGTGAGGACATCATCGTCACCACCACGTCTCAGTATGAGCAGCAGTCATTTGCCTCCAAGACCGAGTGGCGTACCCGGGCAATCGCGACGTCCAACCTCCGCACGAGGGCGAACAACATCTACATCTCGTCGGATGACATTCGGGATGAGGGATACACCTACATCATGCCGAAGAACGTCCTCAAGCGATTCATCACGATTGCTGATCTCCGCGTGCAGGTTGCTGGTTACTTGTATGGTACTTCCCCTCCTGATAACGACCAGGTGAAGGAAATTCGCACCATTGTCATGATCCCTCAGGTGGGCAACACGCGTGAGGTTCAGTTGCCCCAGCAGCTACCACAGCACGATTACCTCAACAACCTCGAGCCTCTAGGTGTTATTCACACCATCTCTGGTAACGAGCCCCCTTACATGACGGCCATGGACGTTACACAGCATTCTCGTTTGATGAATGCCCACTCATCGTGGGACAAGAAGACGGTGACGATGACGGTGTCTTTCACCCCTGGATCCGTGTCTCTGGCGGCATGGGGCCTTACGCCCCAGGGCTACAAGTGGGGAGCGGAGAATAGGGATACCACATCCGATCAACCGCAAGGGTTCTCGACCAACATGGGAGAGAAGTGCCAGTTGTTGCTCAGTGACAAGATCCGGGGTTACTTCCTGGTGCCGGAAGACAACGTCTGGAACTACAGCTTCATGGGCAGCTCGTTCGGTAGCGTCGACAAGCGGCCGGTGTATGTCAAGATCGACACGCCGCTGAAATTCTACGACGATCAGCATCGTCCATTGCACTTCCAGAACTTTGCAGAACTGGAAGATATTTGGGTTGACCGTTCTGATAACTTTGCGTGAGCGATGAGTGTGGTAGGCGTTGGATGAATTGTTTCGATATGGATTATTACGCCGTTTTTTCTCGTGGTTCCCCCTTTTGAGCCTTTTTTTTCCCTTTAATGTAGGTACTATACAAAATCCTCTCATGTGTTTTACTATGATATTATTCTTTTATTATGATCGATTTCTGTTGGGTGGCAAGCGAGGGATGATGATCCGGGCAATGCAGGCGAGATGGATCGGGGGTAGGCTGGTGTATGTACAGTAGAACAGTCGGTAGCGATGTATGTTTTACTCTAGTCGATGGTAAACACTCAAAAAGGTAATTGGTCGAGCCTGCAATGCAATGGATCCCACCATGTGTATCTCTGCCGTCTGGACTATGGAGTACTATTTACTCCGGATGGAGAAACAAGAGTTTTCCGGCCTTAAGAGTTAGGGGATCGACCATGTGGGTGGTGAAGGAGAGCTAAGCCGGCCGGAGGAGACGGTCAAGCACTGTGATCCATCCGCGCAATATGGGCACCCATGTGTGAGTCCACTTTGGCCAGTAGGTTAATCATCGAATGTGGCCTAGATAGCGAACTAGCAGTAATTTAGCAACCATCGGGGGAATTGGTTGACGTGTGTTGGAGCCTGGGAGGGGTTGGTCACCCTGTTACCTGGAACTTGGCCGAGCCTGAGCTGGGGAGGGAGGGGGGGGAAGGATTGCCAGAAGATTGCAGTTGTTGGCTTGCGACTTGCTGGTGACTGGTTGGTTGCTCCTGACTTGTCTGTCCCCTTCCAATCCAATCCCCCCCCTCTCTCTCCTCCCCATTCATCCCACCACTCATCACACACACGCTCCCTCACGCTCCGTGTGCCGTGCACGGCTGTTGCTAAAAACGCCTCCCCCCCCTGCTTCACTTCCTCCTCCACGCCATTCCTTCCGGCTGGATCCGACGCATTTCAACGTTCTGGCCAACGCACTGGCTGGCTGGGCCACCTAAGACATTCTCCTCAGGTTCATTTCATTTGGTTGTCTTTTTTTTTTTTTCTCTTCTAATGCAATGTGATCACCTCTGCTGTTTCACCAGTGCCTCATGCCCATGGGCTCAAATCTCGGGACGCAAAGTCAAAATTCCGACCCGTCGGGATAACTCGTCCTGGAGCCTGCAACTTGCAAGATACGATGGCGGATGAGGGGGATCCACCGGCGTCAGTCCGGAGTACGGAGTACACGCCTAGTTGAGACTACTTCCTTACGCCAGGCTGAGAGCCTGAGAGGGGTCTTACGTGTTGTGTATAAGCTCCCACGCGCCCTTTTCCTGTGTCCATGATTCATGGTCATCATGCTCATTGACCAAGGAGGTAATAGGATTCGGCGCGCGGCGTTTGCGCAAAGCCATTGCAAATTGCAATATACTATATAGTAGTCTCAACTGCCGTCCTCCATGGTGGCTTCACTTCGCGCTGTTGGCCTAGCTCGAGGGGCTTCCTTTCTTTCTCTGACTGACTGATTGACTGACTGAACTCTCACGGAGATCACGGACACGGACTTCATGAAAAGGGATTAGACAATCATGAACAATCATGTCATCCATCCATACCAGTTACAACTGCCATACAATTCTCGCGCGCTAAGCTCCCGGCCTCCGACCGTTCTCGGGAGGGGGCTTTGTCCACGAGGGTTGTTGGGCCTAACAGTTACTAGAGTCCTCGAGCAAATAAGGTTGACAGGAAGCTCTCATCAAAAAAGGGTCAAACCTGCTCCCCTTTGACGGCCGCTAATCACACAGATGGACAAGGGACATGGGCTTCCCTGTCTAGTTTGCCCGGCTCCGGATTGACCGAAGGGGAAGCAGGTTTGAAAAGAAAAACAAAACAATAAAAATAAAGAGAGAAAAAAAAAAAGGAATAAAAAAGATTTCAGAAGGGTTTAAAAAAAAAAGTGAGGCCAGGCAAAAAGGGGAAATAGACGTGGGTACGGGTTTAGACTCGAGCCTGACCCGCGACAACTTTGCTTGCGCGAGAATAGTCTTACATTTAGTCGACGGGAACCACCGCGCATCTCGATGCGAAGAGTTACTGCAATGCCTTTCGCACTGCCCTGTGGTGTTGGATGAGTTCCCGCGCCCGTTCCAGGCTACGGGAATTTTTATATACAGCATCCAGACCAGACCAGGGTCGTTGCTCCATCACTCCCTCTCGAGTAAGAAAGGCTCGGCCGGAACTCCCCTGCTTAGCATGATGGCCCACCTCCGAGCAAACTAGCACCCTCCCGCTAGTCATTCCCAATCACCTTTCCCAGGTGGATGTCTCGCCGACGACGGTTCTCTATCCGCCATTGGCGTGTCGCTGAGTGGAGTTGCTGCGACGACGTACGACGGACGGTCCTTGTTCTGACAGGGGGCGAATTCCTGAGCGAGTTAGGAGCCGACCAGCACAACAACAGGTTTGACTCCCTTGACCCGAATCCACCGAGTCGCTCAGCTCCTCCACGTTCGTATCCAATAAGTTAACTTCAGATTATGCCTGGCCTACGTATGGCTTGGGCTTGGATCGCCCCCCGCTTCTGGGTTGGTCGGGGTTTGAGACGGTAGAGCCCTCCCCCCCCCCGAGGGAGACGGCGTGATGCGATAGCTGGAGGGCTGGCAGGCAGCTCTTTGTCTCCTCGCCCACCGGGCTGTTTCATGCTGTATCTCCCGGCAGCTGCCCTAATTTCCTCCTCCACGGCAGTCAGTGCCATGCCTTGGCAAGCAACCAGACGGGCCGGCGGAAGGCAAATGGTAGCCTCATCCTTCGTCCTGCTGGCATCCATGACCGTTGTCCCCTCTGGGTCCCTCTGCAAGCTAAGCTTGACTGGAACGCAGATCCGTCAAATGGGGGATTTCTCTTTGCCAGCCCACCTGCACCTTTCTGATTTGGGCCGTATGGAGTATCTCCGTGTCTCGTCAATTTCACCCCCAGGACCTCTTATTTATTATTATTTGCCCTTTCCAGAACCTTTCCTCGACTGCGTACCGTCCGCGCTGCCGTATATATCCTACTGACCCTATCACTGCACGGGACTTTTACATGCAGCTGGAAGCAGCATCCCGGCATCACCTCCACTTGTTCTTCCCCATTGATCCTGCATCTCAAACGACGGAGGAATACGGGCTGCAAGCCTATCTGCGGAGTCTCTGGCATGAGCATCAGACCTCCGACCTCCTTCAGTAGATCTGGTTGGGCCGGGCCTCTCGTCGGTTGCGTCTGGACTCTCGTGAAGATTACCGGTCTTTTTCGGGCTTTCCACCTGGCGCGCTCATCACTGACCCCGGTGAGTAGTACTAGTAATCCATCCATCCCTTTCGCCCACTGGTTTTCTTTTCTCATGGTGGCCAGACCCTGCGTCGCCTCGAGCTCTCTGCCGCTTCCTTTCAAATGAGTTCGATGTACTGCGACCTGACCTTGCTACTCTCTTCCTTCCTCCTCCTCCTTGGGATGAGCGATCACCGTGTCCTAACGTTGCTGTCGAGTCGTTCGCTGCATGACCTATAGTTCTGACGGCCAAATAGTGTCGCGCCTAACGCCCATCATCACCACCATCTAGACTCAAGCTCCTCGGACTGGTACATGGCCACAGCTTTGATTCTGGCGTCAATCTAGAGGAATTCACGATCATCCGCACATCGACTCATCGGACGGATTCCGACAAGCGTCTGAACTATCTCTTGACGAGATTTCTCCGTCGAGATAGTACTCTCGACCCCATCCCTTTACCTTCTTTTTAGAGCGAGTCGGTAGCCTGCCAGGGCTTTTAGGCTCTAGCGGCGCAGATGTATGTCCGCGACGCTGGCGGATCCGTATCGAGAGTATGCTATTGATTATTCTCAACATGCTACCTGCAAGCCCGAGGAACATGCGAGCACGCTTGTTTACCACGCACAGCAGCCGCACCTTCAACATCATAAGCAGACCGACCCGCCGTTCTCGCAGGGAGCCTCTCATAGCACGACGGCATTTGAGCAGCATCATGCAAACGCGACCGTACTGTCAGCAGCAGCTCCTCCCACAGTCCATGATATCTCGCAAAACGTTGTCCTCGGCCCACCACAAATGCTCTCGCGACACCTTCCAGTGCAGTATCCGTCCGCCAGCTTCGAGATCCCCCCTATCCAGCGCGACAAGAAACGTCCCCATTCGGAGACAGAAGACGACGGCAATCACGACCATGGGCTCCGGCCACAGTTGTCCGTTCTCTCAGCAGACGCGCCCCACGAACCCTCGCATTCTCCCGAGATGCTCTTCTCGGTCCACGGCGCGTCGTCTCAGCAGCATCCCATGTCAAACCACAGCTTTGGGCCCACAGACTCGGTGGCACTGCCCCAACATCACCACCACCATCGACTCCCGCCCCATGCGGCGCTGCGCGCCCCTGGGCGTCATGGAATGAATGTGGAATCGTCTCCTTTGCCCTCCGGCCCGCCAAGTGTTGTGGGCCAGCCTGGAATGCCCGAACCAGCTCCCAGGCCTCGGGGACCAAAACTGAAGTTCACGCCGGAAGAAGATGCACTCCTGGTGGAGTTGAAGGAGAACAAGAACTTGACGTGGAAGCAAATCGCAGACTTCTTTCCGGGACGGACGAGTGGCACCTTGCAAGTTCGGTACTGCACCAAACTGAAGGCCAAGGATGTGGCTTGGAGCGATGAAATGGTTCGGGTTTCCCTCTCGCTCAAGCTTGATTCTACATACTAATAGCGGGGATAGGTACAACGGCTGCAACGGGCAATCCAGGAATATGAGAACGATCGGTGGCGGATCATTGCAGGGAAGGTTGGAAATGGCTTCACCCCAGCTGCATGCCGTGAGAAAGCGATGCAGCTCCCGTGATGGCGTGGTGGAGACTAATATATAAAGCGGCCTCTAATATGCCCTACGGGCGGCATCTGATTTCCTTGCTTAGATTGTTGACGGCCGTTGCCTCGGTAGGCTGGTTGTGCGGGCTTGTAGGAACGGGATGCTGATCACCATAATTTTGCTTTCTATAACGGACGGTCGATGTAAGGTAATTAGTGGTGTATGATAATTCATTTAGCCCCGGGGGGAGGGAGATGCACCGGCATCTGTTCGTTCGCGGTGAACTGACACTAGCGTCCGCTAGAGCACCGGCTCGTGTAGCGGCCTCCATCCATCCATCCCGGCCTGAACGCGGCCATCGCTCGGTCGGACGGGGCCATGCATGTCTACGGTGGCCGGGGAAGACTTCTCGCGCAGCCTGGCGAGCCCTGAGCCCTAAGCCGGGTGCCCGATCGAGCAATCTGCGGACCTGGTTACTGCAGGCAGCCGGACAAGCTCCGCAACCAATCAACCCACAGCGCTGACTAAGGGGGGTCGACCACGGGCCGAAGCGGCTTCAAACTCACCTCAACCTCCAAACTCCCTCATCTCCAACGTCCTCGCCTTGTCTGCCGTCATTGCATCAACCCACCAGGACAATGTTCCTCCAACGCACAGCCTTCGCCCTCGCCCGGCGCACCCCTGCCCGGGCCATTGCTGCTCGCCCCTTTTCCTCCTCCGTCAGCCGCTGTACGTGACCCTCATCGTCAATTCAAGACCGCCTCTTCTGCACCCAGTAGTGGCAGCCGTCCTCTTCCTTCCGCGCCCCTCCCCATGGCCTCGACGTGGGTCAATTGCACGGGAATGTGGACATTGGTCCTGGATTTGCGAGCTAACATGCCATTGCCACTTGTACAGTCAACAAGAAGTATGAGGTGAAGCAGGAGGGCAAGATCCTTCCCTTCGAAGGTTGGTGGCCTCACCCATCCTTCCGCGAGCGTCCATTGTCCCTACGGATCCTCTAGCAGGATGCAGTTGTCGCTGGTAGCGCGAATGGATAATGCAATTGAGGATCTGCTGTGGGGCTTTGGCGCTGGGACATCTGACAGCGGGCATGACACGGCCTCGACCCGATTTACATCATACTGATTGTGCGCTTTCTTCCTGAATAGAGATCAAGACCGAAGACGACCTCATCCCCCCGGGTGCTAAGGCCGGTACCGTCCCCGTCGATATCGAGCACGCCACCGGTCTCGAGCGTCTCGAACTGGTCGGAAAGATGCAGGGCATTGACATCTTCGACATGAGACCCCTCGATGCCTCTCGCAAGGGTACGTTGTGCTCTTTCCATTCCTCTCGGTTACTTCTTGAGCTTCTGCGATAAGAGATGACTCCAGTGTCGATCTTCCCCGGACAAAGCTGACCCCAGATTCGCAGGAACCCTCGAGAACCCCATCATTGTCCCCGGTGCTGGTGACGAGCAGTACGCTGGTTGCACTGGTTACCCCGCCGACTCTCACCAGGTCGTCTGGCTGACCGTAAGCGATATCCCGTGTGATTGAGGCGATAGCATGATCCTAACCAGCCACCATACAGGTCTCCCGTGACCGCCCCATCGAGCGCTGCGGCGAGTGCGGCAACGTTGTCAAGCTCAACTACGTTGGCCCCTTGGAGGACCCCCACGCCCGTGAGTGCTTCCTCTCATTTCCGTCCACTTCCGTACACGTTTGCTCGGTCTACTAACCGCTGCATCTAGACGACCACGGCCACGAGCACGGCCACCCCCCTCACGAGGAGCCCAAGACCTTCGCCGACTTCGTCAAGCCTGAGTACTGGTACCGGTAAATATAATTTACTACTACAATAAATGGAGCGATTGTTCTTTCCTTTTCCCTTTTAGTTGCTACTTTGATCCGGAGCAAAGACACCCAGTGAAGTGAAGCGAAATAGAAGACAATCCGACCTCATATCTGTATGTGTACATGCGGGCAGGAGTCAAGTCAGAGAGACGGGGAGTGTGTGCGAGAGAGAGAGGGGAGGAGAAAGAGGAGTTCTGTACAAGAGATGACATTTTTCCTTCATCAGGATAAGCTGCTAGTTTGTATCGTTCATGAAACCAGTTCCGTTGTATCTGCTTCTTCCCTCTTATTCATCATTATGCTCTAGACGATGATATCACCAGTTTCTTCCCCCCATTACTAATCTCTTTCTCTCCCTCACATTCTTATACCTTTTAATTCCTCCCTCATTCCTCATCTTGCATTTAGTATACAGTCATCTTAAATAAAACCCACACAACCCAATTCCTACTGCAAATATCCTACCTACGATTTAATCCCTCCTTCCTATTCGGTATCATCATCCCTAATACACAACCAAGCCAAAAAAAAATAAAATTAAGTACCCATAATACTCTCATTAAATTACTATTCCTATTGTGGCTTGACAACAAAGTGAGCTGATGCGATGCGTTGTATGAGCCATGAGGGATTCAGTAGTGTAGTGGGTGGCATGATCCCCGGAACAGCGGATGTACGGAGTACATAGCCCAGTAACTAGTAGTAAGCGGAAGGATTTGACTGGATGGGATGATGGATTGGGATCACGTGGTTGGGTCGATAGATAAGTATTTACCACTAGCTTCTAGTAGTAAGTAGATAGTAAGTAGCCAGGAAAGGAAGGAGCTGGCTTAGTTTGTTTTGGGTTGGGATTTGGGGAAGGACGAAGGGAGGAGGGGATGCGGGTGGTGATTACTGAATGGAATTAGCTAGGATTTTGAGTGAGTGAGTGATTATTGAGGAGTGCGTTGATGCTAGTATACAGTGGACGTACTCGATGATGGGTGTATTTGTAAAGATGTATTCTTTCTTGCGTTCTATTTGTACATGTGCTGGGGGCAAGAGGATGAATATGTAGTATGTCCGGCCAGCGTATGTGCATCTAATCTAAGTGTACACTTTACAAGACTACTCCGCAGTGAGGGGAGAGTTCCTTTGTTCTTCGGTGGATAAAACTAAGTACTCGATGAGAGCACCAAAAGTTCACTCCGATAGGTCGCAACAAGGTGCATGTGACTGGCATCTCCTTACCGTCCGAGAAAACGGAGCTCGAGGTATCGAAGAGGCGGATAGACCAGACACGTCCATGAAAAGCCGACGTAATTGCCCATCTAGTCGAGGTCAGTTGAAAGCAATCCGGGTGAAATCATACTTCACTTACATCTGCACCATATGCACCAACCAATCGTGCAAGAGGTCCGATATACCACACTTGCGCCATGCACAAAATCGCTCCAGCCCAGCCGATCAAGAAGGCAAGGAAAGCGGCAATGCCTATGGGCAGTTTGGACGGGTCATTCCAAGCGTTCCAGTTGTAGCCACTGCGGGAGCGGAAGATGAATCGATCTTCCAGAATGATCGCCATCCAGATCGCGACCCAGTAGCCCATGAGCGCAAGGAAGTTGGTGAAGATGTCGGAGAGGTTGCTCCGACCCACCAAGGCACACACGGTGTAAATGATAACCCCAATGGCATTCCAGATCGCTCGAGGCACCTTTTCTGCGTATCGTCCGAGGATCTGGAAATCCACGCCAGCGGAATAGGTGGGTGGGATGGTGTTTGCGATGAGACCAAGTGCGACGACGACAGCACAGAACTTGCCGAATCCGTTGAGCGGACTGAACCCTTCGACGATGAGTGCCCCGGCGCCGTTGGAATATGCTTGACTGTATGCTGGGTCGGTGGTCATGCCCGATGCGAGTCCGATACCGCATACGAATGCCATGGTAAAAGAGGTCATCAGGCCACCCAAGGAGAGGAAGAACAGCGCCCTCTTCGAAGTGTTTTGAGGATAGTAGACAAAGAAGTCTGCTGCCAGCGGCGCATATGTAATCGCGGCACTGAGACAGATGGAGAAGAAGGACAGGCTGCGAGCGGATTACACATCAGCATGGATTATCTAGTGGCTAAAGTCAGACCTACCGGTTCCCAGCTACTGTGCGAGCATCACCTGTAGATGGCGTAGACAGATCATATTTCGTTCCCGACATTCCGAATAGTATGCAAAAGACAATAAGCTGAGGGAGGAAAGCAAAGCTAATCTCGTCAGTACCAGAAACCATAAGACCAAGTCAGTGACACATACCGTTCATAGTAATGGAAGATCTGAATACCGAACGTGGCGATGACCCAACTAATGATGGCGATAATCACGATACCTTGTCTACATCAGTAACCACCATATATCAGCTCCATCATCTCTCAACTTACCCACAGCGACAGACATGTGTCCATGTGGTGAAACAGCGGACAAGAGCTGTCCGCCGACAACACAGTCGATCAAGCCATATCCCAACATTTGGATCAGATTCAAAATGACGATGAGCTTACTCGGCCACCAACCCATTGAGTAGCGTCCAAATGCCTAAATTGTGTTAACACCTGGCCCTATTTCCACCGGAGTCGCATTGTGATGGCTTACCATGGTCCGAATACCGGATAGGGGTCCCCATGTGGCCATCCACGAGGAAACCACAGCACCTACTAGAGCTCCGAATACCCCGCAAAGTGCTGAGTCAATAAAACTAAGTCCGTAGGTAGCAGGTCCTAGCATACCCAGGGTGATGTTGTTGGCCGCCAAGTTGATCGAGACCCAAAGCAAGAAAGCCTGCAAGTAGGAAACCCAAGTCAACTTGGACATCCGTTCATGCTCCCCCACCCGCTCTATACCACGGGCCTCTAGGTTGTACTCCACGAGCTGCGCTTCGAATCGCCTAAGATATGCAGCCATCCGCGACGAGACAAACGGCCCACTCGGCGACCTGACATTCTTTTCTTCGCCATTTCCGGGGAAGAAAGAGGGGTCTTCTCTGGAACGAATCCTGGAGATCTCCTTTTCAGAAGACTGCCCTAGGGCGGGGACTGATTGCGGCGAAGACATCCTAATACAGTCTGTCAGTATACGTCCGGAGAAGCGGGAGGTACAAAGAAAAGAAAGCGCGCATGAGTCCTTTCGCTGGAATTATCCAGATCAAGTTCAACCGTATAATCTCAGAACGACAACGGTAGTCACCACAGTATCTGGGGGACAAGCGCCACCGGCAAACAAGAGGGCGAGAAGTCCCCGATAGTGTGTGTGACGTACAGTTGTTGAACACCGGTCTTCATGCAGGCAGGCTACCTAGATACCTTGATCGACAGACAAAACCACGCTACTCGTCTTCATGATAGCCGTCCCTTGCATAAGGTTTCTGTGAGAAGACGGGAGAGCTGTACTGGAAGGGAAAACGTTGTGTTCCGATTGCAACGAATCCGTTGTGGCGATTAGACCTTGACCTAGTGGAACAAACGCCAGTCGCACGTCAGTCAATTTGCCTGGTTCAGAGATTGTGGCGATTGTCTGCTCGCAAGGAATTACCAGGTTTGTCTGATACAACGCAGATGGTAGAACCCAATTGCCGTATCACAGCGTGCTTGTCCGTGACCTGACACTGATGGCTGAGAGCGAAGAAGTGGAGCGGGGGAGAAGATTCCACTGGAGTCAATAAAATTGTAATCGGCCGCGGGGGAAATTCGGTCCCCGCGGGCGGACAGTCGGACTCCCCTCTCCGCGCGCCTTCCCGACTTCGGCTGCTGCCCACTATTGTAGATATCTATCTACTACTCCGTACGCTTAATGCGACCATCTACATCTACCGGCATTCAAGCCAACATCAGCAATGCATCATCGTATTGATGGCCACTCAACGCTGGGACACCGAGAGCACAGGTTCTACTAAACTCCCTCCTGTCTATAGAAGAACGGAAACCTTACAGCAAGCTCCAGCAAATCGTTGAATGCGCAGGGTGGCCGCCACCGCGGCGCAGCGCTGCTGTCAAGAACCGCCAGAGACTTACGCGTAAGAGATTGGTATTCACCAAGAATATAGGAAGACGAGGAACAAGGAGAGATATCAACCATGGCAGGCGCAAGTGAAACGAACAAGGACAGAGGATTGAAAAGAAGGCAAGAGATGCGGGCAACACAAGGAGAGCAAAAGGGATTACATATGAAAGACGCAAGCCAACTCCGATAACCCTTCGCCCGATACATTGCAAATTGTGGCTAACATCACACATTGCCGTGAAAACCAAAGCTTAAAGCAATGTAAATCCATAACTCATGCCCGTCGTCGATTCGTGAATGTGTGGAAGACGATGCATTGGTCATCACGTCGTCAATACTTCGTAGGAAATCTAGAGATCCTTGAAATGTTCTTTCGCATACTGTTCGCACGCCTGGTTTTCTACACGTCAGCAGCCCAGACATCTACAGACCCCAGAGAACTTACCTTGGCTGGCTTCCCAACCTTCTGCCCAATCACCTTCCATTTATTCGCCTCATATTCCTTGATTGCTTCCCGAAGCGCTATGGACTACATCGGCTTAGTATCGCTACACAAATAGAGCCAGACGCTGAAAGTCGTTACCTCATCTTCCGCAAATTCGGCATAGTGCATGTCCTATGTGTGGCGTCAGTATCTGTCTATTCACGAGGAATCGCCACCAGTATCTACTCACCTTATACCAATGTTTCTTGACACTGCCCTCGGTCCGAGTAGTAAATGTCTGTAACACCCAGGATACTCAAGTCAGCGCACTCGACACCGCAGGGTCCTGAGACGGAGCGTTTGATGAACCTTGGCAATTTCGCTCCAGCTGCGACCCGCATCGCGCATCGTCTTCAGCCTCTGCTCTTCTTCGGCAGTCCAGGGAGTGTTGGTCCTTCCCTTCTTCTTGGGTGCAGGCTCCGCTACCCCCGACCCTTGCTCGTGCGCGGTGTCTCCGGTGGCGGTTGTCGCGCCTGGCGCCGCCATGGTCGGCGTCGAGCCTGCCGGGGGAGAAGCACGGCGTTTGCGCGGATTCTGGGGAGGAATCTGGGGTTGGGGCATAGGAATGCCCTCGAAAGAAGGCACTCTGGAAAATGGATTCACTTGTTGCTGGGCTAACAGGTGTGATGGTGCGTTGGCAGAGACGGAGGTCTTGATTCGCTTAGATGTTGGAGGGGACCTGTAGTAGAGGGACAGGCGAAAGGCGCCGGGGTTAGAGACGCAACCAACACACGAGGAAAAAGGAAGGGGGGTGGGATAAGGTCAAAGTGAATGCAAGGCCAGAAACGATAATCGCAAATAATAATAGAACGAGCCAGTCACTTTGCCAATCGCAAAGTCAAGTACAGACGGGAACTGATCGGAAAGGAAACAGATACAAGGTCAAGGCTAGGGAAATTAAAATAGAAAATCCCGGCAAAGCACATGATCTCTGACAGGTATATATGGAAGGACAACTGCCGCCGACGCTGCGCAGTCCCAGAGACCAGCTTTCCTCCAGGCTGGGGAGGACGAGGAGGGACTTACGACATGGTTGACGATACGCAGTTTTCCCAATCACGCTCCGTCGATTCATCTGTAGATACACATGCTTATGAGATTAGCAAATCTGCTACTCAAGGAACGCTCCGTGTAGATTGGCCTGTCAGGTTCAGGGAAGCGAGCGCTGGGTTACACCAAGGTGACGATGACACCGGCGCATCATACGGCGTGGCAGTAGCGCCGCAGGCAGGGAGGTAGACAACAGGAAAGAAGGAAAAGGTCGGAAGAATTGTTACATGCATATATAAAGGTTGTTTGTAGCGAGAAACCCCAGTGGATGAGGAAGGGATTGGGAGGAATTCTCGTCGGAAGGTGAGGAGAAGGAGAAGGAGGAGGCGGCGGCGGAGGAGGCAAGAGGAGGCGATGGGGAGGGGAAAGGGAAGGGAAAGGGAGTGGGGGGGAAGGGAATGAGGGGAGGGGAGGGGAACCAAAGGGACCAAAGAGGATAGTAAGTATAAACAGGTTTAGGCACAGTCACAAGAAGACCTTTCTAGCATCTTAGGATACAGAGGCTGGAAATAGTACGGAGGAGTACTGGAGTTGCGATGATAAGACGTTCTGGTCAGGACAAGTGGAGATGGAGACTGACAGAGAGTGTAAAGAGAGGCTTACTGGTCAAAGTTCATGGTTCGAAATCGATTCTCGGGTTTTTTCCTGATAGGCAGGGGACGGTGTTGTAGTAGCAGGAGTAGTAGCAGTAGCAGTAGTAGTAAGTAGTGAGTAGTAAGTAGTAGCAGTAGTCAGTCAAGTCAGTCAGTAAGAAGTAGATCAGGTCGACTGGTAGGGCAAATTCAATCCGGTAAGTTCACGGTAAGTCAGCAGTCGACTTGAGTTCGGTCGTTCGGGAATCAGTCGGAACAGTGATGGTGGTGGTAGTAAGAGCCTGGGACTGTACTTCCAGGGCTTCCTTCTTTACAGTTACCAGTTCCGGGAAGAACAAATGGGAATGGAACGGCGGGGGAAGCGGTGGCTCGGTTGACAGTACACAGGACTAAGGGAAGGAAAGGAAGAAGTAAATTTACCAGCGCGAGAAGGAAAGAGAGGAACAAGAGAAAGAAAGAAGGCAGCGGATGGGAAGGTCGAGCGCCGGCCGGAAATTGGCAGACGGACAGACAGACCGTGACTACTGCGGAGGGGAGCGAATGCAATTCGAATCCACCCCAAGGCTAAACAGATTGCACCGTCACCAATCCCGCGTCTTCCGAGGCGTGTTTGCTTTTTCCTCCTCAGCAGCAACGACGAGGAATCATCATGACTCGTCCTTTGCACCGGAACTACTGGAGACGGGTTCTGCACACCATCCACGATAGCCCCGTCCTTTTCCTAAAAACAATTTCTGAATTATGAAAGGACGGCCCGGTGGGATCGCTTTGAGTCCTGGCGCCGATTATCTCGATTCATCTCCCCCTCTTGCCCCCCCTCCCCATATGCTGGGTCAATGCGATAGATACACCCCACACCCGGATTTCCACTGACTTCGGAAGGAACAATCACCACAGATGCCCGACGAGGCCAGATGGAATGGATATTCACCACCCCTATCCTTGTATTCCCACCCTTTCCCCCCCCGACACGCTTTTCTTATTTTTCATTTTCTCCCGACCGATGACTCGACGGTGATTGTTCACAGTCATTAGGCCTCCATCCCAAAAGCCAGCTGCTCCCGCGCACACCATCCGCCACTTGATCCAGGCGAGAATGCCTGTTACGCGAACGAAAGAAAGGGCGATGATGATGGTGGCGGCAATCTGACCATAGAACTCGCCGTGTCCGGGCGACTTTGCCAGGCCAACCCGGTGATGCTGCAGTGTCGAGTAAAGCCAAGCAGGTTGGCGAGGCCAGTGAGGGGCCTGGCCATCCCGATGACCGTGAGGCAGCTTACAACATGAAACGAAAATCACCATCTGTAATCTCAACCCTTGGCAGTCCAGAGGTGAAGTAAAAAGCAAACCTCGAGGGTCCATGGGTCCGGATCTCTGCTGTTTACGTGGGTGCCAGGTTCTCTTTTCCTCCCAATGAGATGGCATGACGGGAAACAATGGGAGCGGGGTAAAAGACCGCTACTTTTCCCCTCCCCATCTGCCGTTGCTCTAGTCGATACCCGCTCCGTATGATCGGTGCAGGGCTTGCCGGATCCATGATGCAAGATCGGCTGCTCTTCAAATCGAGCGCTCGCGGCCATGGCCAGGTCGGCTGCTTTCCACCAAAAACAGCCTCACTCGTTCATCTCGCACCTCTCCAGCACCATATCTGCACCCTCCTAGGCCAGTTTAGAAGGTTCTAGGTAGGCCCGTGAACCGTTGTATGGAACCATGTAAGTCCGTTTCGAGCACGGTCCTCTCGGCGCGCCCATCATTCCGATGACATAGCTTGCTGTCCTGTTCGCCATCTTCGCCATCCTTTGGCTTGCAGGCTGAATGTCGATGGACTTCCTCTTCGGGCTAGGAGTGTCCCGGGTGACAGGGTAAGCATCTGTCGATGTCCTTGATTTGATAGCATACTCAAAAGGCGTCTGTAACAGAAGGTAGGCAAAAAGTTCAATGCCCTCAGCATGTGATTGGTTGTAGTCAAGATGCAGGACGTATTCCGCTAATGACGTTGATGTACACGTGGTGAAGCCCCAGCAATATAGTTGTCATTGTGCAAGTGAGTACAGGATTGTTTCCAACCAAGCATCATTACGGAATGAATCTGCCTCATTTGCTCGTGATGAGTAGAGGTAGCACTCTTTGAGCAATGCCCAGTATGGATGATCTTCCTTCCTTTCTTGGCCAACTTTATACGACCACTTACAGCGTAAATCCAACAATCGTCTTCAATGGCTTCGCACTTGAGATTCCAAAACCCGCCAAGGTACTTCTAGTGCATCTAGGGCTTGGGAATAGACTTTTCTAGAAAAGGGTTACTCCTTCACTAGCCGCACAAGGAGTGGGTCAAAGAAACATTAGATCTCTGGAGCAGGCCCATGTATATCTATCAATAGCTTCCGCTGGTGCTTCCGTCTTGATTAGTTCTCCAACGGAAGTTAATTGTCCACTAACAGAACCTTGGCATGAGATGGCCAATCCATCTCAGATGTTGCCTCGGATTTATATAAAGCCCTGCTAGTAACACTAAGCCTCTTTTGCTATCCTCATAAGAGAAAGCGATTAGAGTTAATGCTCTAAACGACAGTCTCGCTTGACTGCTTGAACTGCACCTTGGCAACAACATTCAATACCCGATCAGTCATCAGCTTTGGCTTGCTGCTGGGAGGCTAATGGCCAGCTTTAGTCCTTGTCACATCAAGATTTTATCATTCACACTCTCAACCATGGCCACTGACGCTCTCTGTAATGTGGCTGGAATACCCAAGTCGTCGACACTCACAAGCGACGATACAGGGATATCCTTACACCCGACATGGGTCAACTCACCTGTATGCAGAAGCAGAGTGGCGCGTGAGTTTCCTTGCCAAAATATCACTGTTTTCACTTGACATGTCTGAGAAACCAAAGGCAGCAGATAAGCTATGTCCGAGTGATGTAGCCAACCGTCGTCCTGGCCCCATATGAGTTGGCATTGTTGAAGTCGGGCGAAGACAACATAAAAGGCAAACAAACATCAACTTTCAACTCCGCTGTCTGCCCCCTTTGCTTGGGCATCAGAAGCCACTAAAGCGCTCGCATTTGACGCTCCCAAGGACAATACGAGGAAGCTCATACACGCCAGCCGTACAATCTCGCCTTTCATTCGCTGAGCCCGCCTCTCAGCCTTCCCCAAGCCTTTGGTTTTCTGTATTGCCGGGATACCCCTATACGAGTGTGCAATTAGCACCGCGTCTCCACCTGGTTCTGTGACCGAGAAGACTGCTGCAGCGATAAATGCGGCGTCGTCTTCCACACACGGTGGCACTTTTACCCCGCTTTTGTATCCCACGCTCGGAAGATGTGACTTTGAGCAGCTGCCCCGTCGGAGACAGCATCATGGTGCGCTACCAGAGCAAAAGCTCCAGGAATGAGGAGCATTTGTCTGACATTTCATCGGAAGAAGATGACTGTGTTCAAGGACTTACAGGAGATCTAGTGGACGGCCTTATATCTAGTGCACTTGGGCAGGCACGATCGCTGTTACGACCAACATGACCGTCTTTTCATAGATCGCCATGGGCTAAATTCCAGAGATCGTCAGCAGCGGTGAAGATCGCATCGCATCGGCGGAAGGAACATTTCCCTTCCTACTTAAAAGTATTCACGAAAAGTCGCCCAAAATGACTTTCACGTCGATGGCAGGTTTTGAGGGCTCAGCTAAGGAGCTCAAGGTATATTCTCTTAACCCTCTTGTGATAGATATGGCGTCGATTGCCAACCGTGGGTTACAATAGCACGGCCATGGAGAGGAGACCGTCCCCGCGCTCTTCCATCGCAAGCTACAGACTGATTAGTTGATCCTCAACACCTTTCTTCGAGAGCCCATAGCACTGGCGTGTCTCTACTCCGTACGGAGTACTCCCTAAGCAACACTGCAGAAGCGTCTTGACGTCGCCCAAAATAGCAGTCGCACAAATCACGTGACCAACACGCGGCACGGGACCACCCCAGCTGCAGGTGGATCCCGCTGTGACGGTGAGCGCAGGAGCTCCCTTGGTTGAGACCAGATAAGGCGACGCGGCCATTGCAGGTCCATGACTATTAGACCGCCCATCACTGCTACCTCAACTGTTGTCACTGCTACCTCAACTGTTGTCATTGCATCTCTTTTCAGCCTCTCTCGGCATCCCTTCTCGCGTCCACAGCACCCTTACTTGTTCTTACATTGAACGACAACCTACGTTACCCAACCGGGGTCTCTGGGTGATTAACGGAGCACGGTCCACCGACTAGGACCATCTCTCACAAACTTGCTAGACTATCTTGATGGTATTCTAGGCGTGGGTTGCAGGGCGATTCCACTGCACAAGTGACAAGACAAACCGTCCATATATATACAGACATACACAGGACTCAAGATGCTGAATCTCAACATCTTTCGGCTACTGGCCGATCTCTCCCATATCTCTTCGAAGTGTGTCTTGATATGGGCCATTCATCGTAATAAGAGCGCAGAAGGTGCGTGGTAGCATCCCCTGTTGAGGTGTTTTGCATACTAAGTCGCTGTGTCACATACAGGAGTCTCGCTACTCACGCAGATGCTCTATGCCCTGGTTTTCGTGACACGATATCTCGATCTGTTTTCGAAGACTGGATGGACGCACTTCTATCTTGTGTTTTTCAAGCTCTTCTATATCATATCATCGTTTTACGTTATATATCTGATGATGAGGGTTTATCCCCGAACACGGGAAAGGGAGCGGGCATGGAAACTGGCCATAATATCCGTCGCTCTTTCATTGGTTTTGTCCCCCATATCCATCGCCATTTTCTATCGTGGTTATCCCGGACACTGGTTCACAGAGGTGAGTTGGTCTGTTCCAGTCGGCTTAGACGGGCACGCTAATGAGACTGTGATGGTACGATAGACTTGCTGGGCTTTCTCTATCGTCCTAGAATCCGTTTGTGTCCTCCCTCAATTGTTGCTCCTGCGCCAGACCACCGTTCCGACCGTCATCGATTCGTACTACCTGGTTATGTTGGGCTCGTATCGTGCCTTCTATATTCTCAATTGGCTTGTACGGGGACTCGGGTCCGAGGGCCACTGGGACGTGATCGCAGATGTCTACGGTGTCATCCAAACCGCTTTCTACATTGACTTCGCCTGGGTTTACTACTCCCGCCAGCGCGTGAAACTCCGAAATGGAGGTGTTGTTGACTCGGAAGACTTCCGTAGCAGCTGGCTAGTGAACAAGGTTCTGAACTTCCGGCAGCGGAGGAGTACAGATGAGGAGCAAAACCTGAATGAGGGAGACGTGGATGACGAGGGGGTGGCTGATGGAGATAGACCGAGAAACAACCGCTGGGGTGCGCGAGGAATTTCTGTCTCCGCCGACGATACGTTGGAAAATCACCGGGGGGATGGCCCGGGAACGGGCCATGACGACGGTCTAGAAGGATTCTTGGAAGATGGTGAAGATGACAGTTCGGAGTACAGAGGGGTTCCCCCGAAGCAGTCAGCTGGGGTAACGGGCAGTCACGAATGAACTGTCCGCGCTCAATGCCATATATAGAAACCCTGCCGCAGATCTGCCGGCTTTCTGGTTGCACGGTTCAATGTACTAGGGGAATTGTTTCCCTAGGGCCCCTGTCTCCGTTCCCGTTATTTTCCCACTTTTTACTCGGCTTTGTCTGCATGAAATTTCTTTCACGTCATCTGATTCTCACAATCTCAAATCACTTTTTTGGAATATGTAGTAATGCAGGATCCATGCTGAGTCAGGACTAGGGCAATTGGAATCCCGGTTCGATCAAGCTGACAGTTAGATTCTCCAAGATTCAAGACATGGGGAGGGAAGGGGAATGTCATGGTAGGGTCAAGATGAGATCATCCCCCCCATCCGAGGCGCTATAGGTGAAACAGAGGTGAGAAGGACCCCGTTGTTTCAAGACTGCAATCAGCCATTGCTGCGCCTGCCCATAGCCACCGCTGGTTGTTTGGACAACCGAGGGGACAAGTGGAAGGGGGGGGGGCCCAGGGCAGAGAGGAGGAACAAAGGGGCCATTTTGAGGGCAAAAAACAGCCTAGGCGACAACCTTGCCCTTAATCGGCAAACCCGGCAAAAGGCCGTCATCCGAGTGCTGCGATGCGATGCGATCCAAGCCCAGTCAAAAATAGATCAGTGACTAGTGCGGTGCCTTTTTCCTAAGGAAATAACGAGGTAGCATGCGCTAACCTAGAGAGGCAGGCGCGGGACCTAGTGACATCACGTGCGGGCGCCCCGGGCGCCCCGATCGTTCGACTGGCGGGAGTTTCTGGAGCGAAGAATGAAGATCATCCACATGGCGGTGATGTGCGCGGGCAACAGGAGGGGGCCTTGATGATACGCCGGTCAGAAAGCCGTTCCATAGGGCCAAATCCCTCCCGAACGCCAAAGAGGAATCCAGCACGAAAATCACTCGCCAGTGAATTAATTGACTTCCAGAAGGACGGCCTCCCCGAGGGCCCCGGCAATTCCTGATGCGCCATGCCATGGCGGAATCCTCCGGCTGGGAGAATGGTTGGAGATGGAGTCTTGAAGACTGAAGTACTTGCACTCGTCGAGGGGCCCAGGAGGCCTTGAGGCCATGCCCCTCTCGTTCTGGCGCGTAACTCACCATTCTCCTGGGGGACACGTGGCTTTGCCTGAATGCAAACAACCGGGCAGGATAATGAGCATGATCACTGACCGATGACTGCCTGCCTGGCCTTATCCCTCTGGTCCCTAGGGAATCGGGGAGCCCGCACATGGCTGGGCCGGGATGGAGGCCATCCACAATTACCGCCGCTCATTTCGGGCCTGGCGGACTTGGTGGTCAGCTTGACTCCGTAGGGCGATTACACTAGTCCGATCGCATAGCCAGAAGCATGTCTCCAATCCCCATGTCAGTCTGACAAGCCCGCCAGCCTAGGCTAGACCAGTCCGTCTGATCCACCGGGATTTGCAGCCGCAGCGATGGAGAAGCGCTTAATGGCCTATTTTGCCGTGCTAACCCTGCCCCCATGGAGCTTGCTAGATGTTCTGCGCCTGTTTTGCTGGTGACCGTGTTCCTCCACAGCTTTCCGAACAGGATTTAGTTGCGTCCGCTAACAAAGCACGAGAATCCTGGCTGATGACCTACCGTTGTTGGGGCTGCGTTTAGTAGCTTGTCAAGTTGCCTACTCGTGGCCGCGCTCACCCGCTCTCCACCTGCCGTAGCGGCTAGGAACTGGCGATGCGTTCATCTCTCCCTCGGAGAGTTTTGACGCCTTTTTGGCCTGTGAATTTATTGATTAATTTCATGATTTTTTTCCCTTGGATTTTTTTCTATTTGAGTGCTTTTTGAGTTTCCTTGACCCGGTCTTATCCTAATCCGCAGAGATCGTCTCCTGCGATGCTCGAACTGTCAGCTCCAGCGCTAACCTGCGGATTGCCATTTGATATGGGATTCGGGCGGACCGCCAAAGCATCGATTCCGTTCCTTTGCCAGGACATTATTCATTATACGGGTGCCCACTTGGGAGATCCAGAGCATCGGGACTAAGATCGCAGCAGGTGCTGCCTTGCTCTGAGTAACCCATGGTGGTGGGCCTGGGAATGCAAAGTCTGAGCCCCGAGGGTTTGGGGGCTGGATTGTCTCCCTTCTCATGTCATGGCCAGAGATGAGAAATTATTACTCTCTCCTTCCCTGCCCCTCTAGAAAATGGAGCCGTTCGCCTGGAATCCGCGGGCGCTTAAATGCAGCTCATGGTCAAGCCTTCACCTCTGGTTGCGATCCAATTTATGCGGCACAGTGAAGTGGGCGGTACCTACCATGTTCGCTAGAGTTCTCTAGGCCTGTTGTCACAAAGGCTTCACCCATCTGGCCTGCCTTGCGAGGCATCCCGCCTGTCCTTGATATCTCTACTCGGGTATATGAACCGCACGCAGTCCACCCAACTTCGCCTCTCTCTTTTGGATATTCTCCCAGCCCGTGTTGTCTCCCACCAGATGCTTACGACAGTGTGGACTCTAGCTTTCTGTTGACTGTCTTCAAGCAACTTCCAATCATTTCACTTATCCATTCGCTTCGCTTAATCATCTGATAACCCCCCCTGCTTTTGCCACTGCTGGCGGTTCATCTGTTTGCGTGTTTCATCCACGTTACATTCATTCCACAACCACAGCCCCTGCGTCAATCTCACTCAAGGCATCCCAAACGGCCTTCCAATGTATCCTCAGACGCCCATAGGATACTCGGGGCCAATGGTGTTTGGCCATGGCGGCCCCAACCCTGGGGACGGGATGGACGAGTACTATGCCAGTATGCCGCCTCAGTGGACCGGCATTGATACTGTACGTTGATGCAACTATCGTTACGTGGCCAACCTCACTGCTAACCGTCTGGCTTCCTAGTCCCCTTACGCTAGTGTCAGCCATCCTTATACCACCGCGGCCGCCTTTCCGACTGGAGCCATCCTGACTCCAATCAGCCTTCCCGACAGCTCTTTCAGGCCAAGTCCGGTACTCAGCCATCATTCGCAAGAATTTCACTACAGCGTGCCCGAGTCCGTGCCGTCACACGGACTGGGCATTACAGCACCCTTTCCCAGCACGTTCCCCCGCACGGTTACTGCAGGTTTAGGACATGCCTCCGAGGAACCCGAATTTAATTTCAGTGAAGCCACCCTGTCACCCCAACCACCCCCGGCGAAGAGGGCCCGACGCGGGCCCAAGCAGGCGATCACGCCCCGGGAAGCTCCGGTTACAATTCTACCCAACCCCGAAGGGTTGCAGCGCCTAGAGCAAGCGCGGCGACAAGGAACCGGTGAAAACAGTCAGAGGCCTCGGGCCCCGGGCCGGGGACGGAGGGACCCACAAGCGGAGGAGGAAGACGCCTTTGTGGAGCGACTTCGGGAGCAGAACCTAGCCTGGAAAGTCATCCGGGAGATGTTCCGGGAGAAGTTCCATAAGGATGCGTCGGAGGCGCGGCTGCAGATGCGCATGCTGCGGCGACGAAAGGAGCGGTTGGCGCGATGGGATGAAAACGATGTGAGTACGTGCGCCACAGCAGTCGCAAATTGTCAACTAATTAACGATCAAGTCATCCAGATTCGATTGCTCATGAGAGCACGGGAATACTATGAGGATGAGAAGTACAACGTGATTGCACAGAAGGTGAGTGGTCTCTCTGTCCTTGAAAGTGGCCCTCCGGCTTGGCTAACGGGGCATTTCCAGATGAAGGAGTTTGGGGCGGGGCCGTACACTCCCCAGCAATGTGAAGCCCAATTGCGATACCTCGACTCGCAGAAGCGGGACCGTAGCGCAGGTCCGCGGGCTCGAAAACGGTCGTGGTCGAAGGCGGCTCCCAGCATGGCCGGCGGTAGTACAACATAAGTGTTTTGGGACTTTTGGCCGGGGGCTTCTTGGCTTGGGAGGGATGTTGAAGCGCATTATTTGATTTCTTTGGGGTTTGGGGGGGAAATTACACGCAAGGATGATTGTTTACGTCGGGATGATTTCTTTGTTTACTTGGATATACCCTGTGACCGATTGCATATGAATGACATCGTTTTTGGACCTTTTGAGCAACATGAATTGCAAATCATCGACTCCAGGGTGCGATTCGCGCACGACCTGGAGAGAGACGACCACGCCAATCAGGGCTGGCGGTGAGAACAAAGAACGAGGGAGGCAGCGTCGTACAACGTCCGACGTCGGACTTTCTAGGCGATCTCAATTAAACTTTCCGACCCATCTCAACGGCTGAAGATCAGCCCGACTAGAGGCCTCGCTAGCCTGCTTAACCGCCAGCTGCCCCAAGCCACACGCCAGCTGGACCATCTCGGTCCCTATCAAAGAGCCGCCGACCCTGATCCTCCACGCTTACTTACAGCGGATGTCTGAGACCCAAAGTCTGGACCGACAGCCACGCTTTGCTAAGTTTAGCCCGAGTCCCCCCTCCTGGCGCTAGGGGGTTAAGCGATGAATGATGATATGTCACGATATTTCATGCTATGCCATGCCATGCCATGCACATGCACATGCACCTTTCAGCCGCAGCGGCAGGGATGTCCTCCCTCCCTCCCTCCCTCCCTGCCCGCGGCACTCAGCGAAGGATTGCCGAGCCGACTCCATGGTATCTTTTACACCGACTGCCTAGTCAATGACTCGATTCATTCCTGTGAAATGCCTCAACTTCGTCTAAGCGATCATGGCGTAGAACACATCCCCAGAGATAGCCGCCCGGAAAGGGTGACTGCGCTGTTAGCGTACTTCCCCTGCTGCTGGTGCTGCTGCCCGGTTCGGGACGTGGTACATGTTCTATGTTCATGTTCTCTCCGCTGTCGGTGGATTTAGCCGGTTGGGATTTACAGACCCTGGATGATAGCGCATTTACATTCGATAGGATGGTCGTTCAAATTGGGGAGCGGTATGAAACAGCTGCAACTAAGGCTCTCACAAGTCTTAGAGGAAAGTACATGTGCTTGGATATGTCGTTGTATAGTAAATCTAGTACATCTTGTAGTATAGTATAGGACGAGTGATCAACAAAGAAAGTCTTCGTTGAAGTTTTATAAGTACTCCGTACAGACAGTTGATGGGGGGGAGGTACTAAGTGCTCCTTGACAGGTCGATTAATCGATTGATCAATTGGTGGCTGCCGCGATAGGTATCATACTGTCACTTACATACAAACATACCACTGCAGCAGTGTATATCACGAAAAGAGAGAGAAAAAGCAAAGTAAAACATGCATAGCCCCGCATCCCATCCATTTTCACGTAGATAAGTACTTTACTTATCTGGCAGTTATATAGTCAGGGTACTGACTCAGTGAGACATTTGACATTTGACATTTGACATTTCTATACGCGCCCAATGCCCGATCTTTAATGCCTTATCGTTGATGAATAGGAGGATGGTGAGATATTCAAATGTGTTTTCCATCAGAGGGGGGAAAAAAGGCTAGATGACTTTTCAAAGGCATTTTCTGATGGGATGACGTAGGGAGGTGTATCATGGGACTCAATCCCAGATTTTCAAGTCGGACTATCTTCGTTGCGGGGGGTATGTTGAGGGATGGGGATGTGTTGGAACAGTGCAGATTTTGCAGGGCAGGAACCAGGGTGCAGACGTTGAAACATCACTTGGGTTGTTCTTTTACCTTGGCGTATTGTTGTTGACCTAGATGCTTGGAAGAATGGTGGTTCTCACGAACAAAGCATCACGGACTGGTCTGGAAAATATCCAAAACAAACAATACGATAAGTCTATAAAGAAACTATTTACACGATTCAAACTGAGATGCAATAAGCTGCTCCACTTGAACAGGCATCCCACGGTACGCTTCCAACTGGCCGCCCGCAATCAATTCACGAAGCAGTGCTTTGGGATGCTGCGGAAGATCCCACACATCCGACCCAACCATGGCCACCTGCTGCCCAGTCCCCCATATCTTGCGACAGTAATATGCTAGCGCTAACGGATGTCCGGCGGACAGGGCAGTCTCGACTCTGTCATTGATGGAGTGTGTGGTTTCCGAGGCGCTGAGTGTCCGCGATCCAAACTTCTCGGTCAATGCCGCGACGATATCATGTCCGGTTGGGGACAGCTCGCAGAGGGCGAGGGTTCGGTTTTTGATTTGATCGATGGGGCTGACCGTAGACAGCAATGCGATTGAATGCCATTTTAGTGATTTTCAAAATGAAGGAGTGGGAAGACACCACTTTGGATGGAGTATAGAAAGAGATATACTTCGACAGCAAGCCAGGGCCCACTTTGACTGGTTTGCACTGTTTGGAACCGAGTTAAGGGACTACATGATTGGATCATCCTTATCCTATGCGTCTATGAATGGCTGTTTACCTTGTTTGTGATGTTTGTTTGGCTCTATTTGCAGATGTTGATCCGTCAAGTGTCTCCATGTCGTTAACAGAGGGGTATAGGAGCCAAATATGGGACGCACCGGAAGTCCGGCCTGCCTGTGCAGGATATGGTCAATCTGAGCTGAACATGCACCCGTTCTTCGTGAAGTACTCCGTAGGGGGAGACCTCCCAGTCCCCAGTCCAAATGACCCAGCCATGTCGGTGGTAGCAATCAACGAAGGGTACTCCTGTGGCCTGCGAAGTCACACGCTCAAGAATCTTGAATAGTGAATGACAAATCTTTAATACAAACCAGAGGATGGTTTGCTCCCCTCTCATAGTAACCTCCTGTAGAAAACCGCGGACCAACAGCAATAAACAATGATGGCAGTCATTGAAGATCCCTCGGGCCTTCCTATCAGACTGACATGAGAAGGCTAACATGCCCAGCTACTTGAATATGAAGAGATAGCCCGCCTATCAGATCCAGGATATTGGACAGCCCGTCAGGTCCAATGCCACCCTACTCCTGCGGGTCACACCCACAGTGATTAGAAGGTAAGCTCCAAGAAGGAAAGAAATAGATATGTACAATATTCTCCGGAACAACAGATCCTATGTATCAGGACATCAGATCTAGGCTTTATTGGTCGTCTTCCTCTATATCATCATCCACTATAGGAAACGTCAACAGGGCCGCTACACCTCCCAACCCATCGAGTCGCCTTCCACTCTCGTGATCCGAGCTGAGCACCCGCACTTCGCCTCCTTCAATATCCCGCACTCGATCCACCAGTGACACCCAGCGTTTGCGCTCCGCCACGTCCTGTGACCTAAACAGCCGATTGGAGATGATCAGCACGCCGCCGCCGCGGCCGACGGCGCCCTGGTCGACAGCTGATTCGACCTCGCGGGGCCCGTACGTCGCCTTGTTGGTTTCCTTGCGCAGTTGCTCCAGAAAGTCGTCCATGAGCTTGGTCTCGCGCGCATACTTGGTGTCGGCGAGGATCGTCTTCACAGCAGGCGACTGCAGTACCTCCGCTAAAGAGTGGAGATACCCAGAGGCAGAATGTACGACCACAATGCTGGGCAGGAGCCGTTTGAGTGCCGGCGTCGTGGTGGATGCCACCGACTGGATGTACTTTTGGAAACCGGCGGCCACGAAGCCAGGAGACGCCAGGAGGACAGGTCGAACGGCCTCGTTGCTCGTGAGTGCCGCGGAGTTGGTGTTGAATTCTAGCTGGCGCAGCAGCGTATCGAGTGTAACCTGGAAGAACTTGGACATGCCCTATTCCCTGTCAGCATCATCCTAACCTTCAAGCCCGATCGATCTCACCCACCTTATCATGATCACCCCCACCATGTCGTTTCCTGGGCACCGACATCTCGACCTTCTGCTTGAGGATAGTCTGAAACTGCCCGATAAAGCAAATATGCGCCAGGCCTTCCTGCATCACCACGGCCACGGCCTCGGCTCTCCGGTTGCCCCCTTCGTCCACCGCATCCTTCAACATCTGCACTGCGATACTATCCCATCCAACGCCCTCGCCGTCCGCTCCGACCTCCTTCTCCAACGTGAAATTCCGATTGAGTTCCAAATCGAGCGTATGGTGCTGTCCGATCTTCGTATGCGCCGTCTCGTTCACGATGGTCCCGCTAACATGCAGCTGCGAGCTCTGCGGGTCGAAGTCGAGGTTCTTGACGCGGATCTCCAGCATCAGGTGAACTCGTGCGGAGGTCGTCGATCCGGTCTCTTGGGTGGAGGTGACGCGACGGATGGCACTGGCGCGGAGGAGATCGTTGGGTCGGATGAGGTTGTATGCGTGCCACTGCATAAGTTAGACCACACCACCTGGCAGAGTATATAACATACCATATCCTCCGGCTCCTCCGGACACAGCGTCACCGTACCGGAGCCATTGTGCTCGATTTTGTTCTTGATGAGGCGCATATTGCCGTATGGCCTTCACCGCGGGGTAGTGCTTAATAGTAGACAGCCTCCAAAGCAAAAGGTAAACACGGCCTCTCACTCTAGTCAACAAGATATATAAAGTAGACACAAACGTGTACTAGAACACCAACAAATGGCAGACCAACAGCCCGTCAATAATCCTCCGCTCAGCTCTCCCACCACAGATGACGAGGCGGATGCGGGACACCTCCCAAAGCAGTCTAGCGTCTAGCGAGTGTGTCAGCATCTTATCGATAAGAGAGCCCTAAGACCTAAGCCCTGGGTGATTCCTTACTTGGTTAGTAATGATGTTGGGGTTGGTTCCGAGATAAGATCATCTGATAGGTAGCTTCCGTTGCATACCCATCATTCCTCACTTCCGATGACATATCATAGCTGTAGGACTAACTAGTTAGTATACGCAATAACAAACTAATCATACATACTTCTCATAACTTTGCGAAGAAATCAAAAAGACATATATATATGCTAGCATCACACCCCGATTCAACCCCTCCTCATATCCCGTCCCCTCTCTACCCCCTCGCCTCGTGGGCAAAAGAGGAGACAGATCGGCGTGGGGCGACCCAGCAATTAATCCTATTATCTAAATGAAATCATTCGGCATGAGAGAGCTCCGGCGGGGACTCACCTCATCTCACCTCGTGTTCTTTTTGCCGTAGGTATAAATCAACTGTTTCGAAACCTAGACCAGTTTTAGTGCTTCCCTGCTCTACTTGCTGCTTTTCTTGATTCTTTTCTTGTCTACTGCTTTTTTGATTCTTGGATTTGTGTTGAGTAGAGTACGTACTACTGCAGAGACAACATGGCTGCACTTTCTCTACAATCGACCAAGAAGATGGTCTCGGGTTATGAGATTCCCGTGCTTGGGTTTGGGGTATGTTGCTCCCTTTTCCTCTTCCTCTTTCTTTTCACTGTCTGGTGTCTGGGAGGGTGTACATACTGACCAGGAGTATGTAATGAATTGTATAGGTCTACAAAACGTACTCCTCCCTCCCATCCCAACCACAATGAAATCCACAACTAAGCAACAAACAGTCCCCCCTCCCTCACCACAACCGTGACCCTCAAGGCCCTAGAAGCCGGTTACAGGCATGTACGTATCCCCCTCCACCAACCCCCTCCTCCTCAAAACACATCTCAGCTCCGACGGCAACCCAGATCGACAGCGCAGCCCTCTACAACAACGAAGCCGAATGCGCCTCCGCAATCCAACTATCCGGTCTCCCCCGCGAGCAAATCTTCTATACCACCAAAATCCCCATTACGCATATGTCGTATGAGAAAGCCAAGGAGGCGATTGCGGATAGTTTGGCTGCGGCGGAGAAGGGTCGGTTGGGATATATTGATTTGTATGTTCCCATCACCCCCCTTTCTTTCTATTCTGCTCCTGTCATGGAGCAGTATATGATCTCTACGTTGATGGGGTTGGCTGATGGATATAGAATGCTCCTCCACGCCCCTTACGGCGGCAAAGAAGGCCGTCTAGGCGCATGGCGCGCACTCGTGGAAGCGCAACAGGCGGGAAAGATCCGGTCCCTGGGGATATCGAATTACGGGATCCGGCATTTGGAGGAATTAGAGGAGTATATTAAGACCAGTGGGGTTGGGGGACAGATTTCCGTGGGCCAGTATGAGATTCATCCGTGGTGCGCGAGGGAGGATATTGCGGGGTGGTTGAGGAGTCGGGGGGCGGTGGTGGAGGCGTATTCGCCGTTGGTGCAGGCGAAGAGGATGAAGGAGCCGGTGTTGAGGGCGTTGGCGGAGAAGTATGGGAAGAGTGAGGCGCAGGTGTTGGTGAGGTGGAGTTTGCAGAAGGTGAGTGATTTCATTCCTTGTAAAGGGGGGTGGGGATGGGCTAATGGGTTTGGGTAGGGATATGTTCCGCTGCCCAAGTCGGTGACGGAAGCGCGAATCGTGGAGAATTCGCAGGTGTTTGATTTTGAGCTGTCGGAGGAGGATATGAAGCGTTTGCAGACGGCGGAATATGCCCCTGTTTCGTGGGATCCGGTGAGGGATTCGAAATTGTGAGTGACGGGATGGTGCGATCGGGATCACTCCTGAGGGATAACTGTGTATGTTAGTGTTAAGAGATATTAAAGTGATGTAGTGGTAGATTCCAGATATCCAAGCATCCAAGTCCGGTAGGTGGCCGTCATCCAAAGGGGATATCCGCTCGGCACAACGTATCCCCGGCCGCTGCAACAGCCGCCTTCCGCATTCCCAACTATACAAACACCTGCAAGCACACCCACCCTTCTTCATGGCTCTACTCCCACTCTCATGACCCCCTCGAGATCTCCTCCAATGTCGGCCTGCCACCCATTACGATCGCGTCCCCCCGCCCACCATGCCCGATCCACCCAAGCGCATCATCCTCGAGAAATCCCGCACCGTGCGGCGCCGCTACCAGCGCAGCAATAAACGATTTGAGTTTACGGCGTCGCAAATCGCGCGCATTGATCGCGAACAGGAGCGCGAGAAACGCGCCCAGCAGCTGCGCGACCGGGAGAAGAAACGAGTCGCGAATAAGAAGAAAAAGGCGGAGAAAGAGGCCAGGGCGCGCGAGGAACGGAGACGGTTGGGTTTGCCCGATCCGAATGCGCCGTGTGTGCCGTCTAGTCAGCCGTTGCTGTTTAATTTCATCAAGAAGAAGGAGAGTCAGGGGGAGGGAGAGGATACAGAGGTGGACGGGGATGGAGATGGGAATGGGAGCGAAGGAAGTTCGGAGCTTGAGGAGATTGATGATGCTTTTCTTCAGAGTTTGGAGGTGCCTGATCCCTCGCCAGTCGAAGCTTTTAGAGTGTACGAAATGACCGAGGCGGATAGTGAGGGGTATGGCGATGAGGCTAGGGATGAGTCTACGATTTGCGACGAGGTTAGAAGTGACCGTGACGATGCTGGTAATGAGCAGCAGGAGACTAGGGAGGATGAATTCTCCGACTGCTCAATCTTCTATGATGAAGAGCTGATTAAAGAGACCGAGACTATCACTGCGCCAAACCAGATTGCGGAGACCGAACACCAGCCAACTGCAGCCACTGCAGCCACAACCGCACCCACCACGTACGAATCGTTTCAAGATGACACGGCGCTCTTGCTGGAAGAATTTGGCCACGAGTTTGACACGGATGAGGAATTTGAACAGGCGCTGGTTGAGCTGGCAGCCGTGTGATCCGAATGATTTATACTGGAGATACTTCCGACCCGATGGCGATCCGGTCGGATGTGCCTCGGCTCGGGTGATATGCTGCGCTGCCCCGCCGTGAGCTGTAAGCCGTGAGCCGTGAGCCGTGATGCCGTTGATCCGACGGATTGAAGACAGGAAGATCTTTAGGATTTCGGTGAGCTGGTAGTGCTGTATGGAGTACACAAGGCGAAAGGGGAGATGGTGCGGGAAGGTGGGCGGAAATGTGCACCATTTGAGGCTCCCGCGGCGGGCGGCATGACGTCTGCTTAAGGTGCACATCCGATCGTTTATCTCCCGACATACGGAGTATCTCAGCTTCCTTTCCCTAACAACCTTACTACCTTTATTGGAAAACATCCATCATGCCGAGCATCACAGTCAACAATCATCAAATCGCATACGCCGACACCTACCCGGGCGGTGCCCCGGCCGACGGCCTTACATTCATCTTTATACACGGTCTCGGCTCATCCCAGAATTATTACTTTCCCGTGATTCCCTATCTATCAAGCCATCGTTGCATCACCATCGATACGTATGGTGCTGCCCGGTCCCCCTATAATGGTGGCACGATATCCATTGCCTCGATCGCTGCAGATGTGATCGGGGTACTGGACGCATTGCGCGTGCCTAAGGCGGTGGTGGTTGGCCACTCAATGGGGGGTTTAGTCGTGACGCTCTTGGGTGCAGAGTATGCTGATCGCGTGGCTGGCGTGGTGGCCATCGGACCTACTCATCCGACAGAGAAGCTGGCGGAGGTGATGACCCAACGCAGCGAGCTCGCTTCCACCGGTAAGTGACACTGACCTTGGTAACTATTCGTGCTGACTTGGCAGACGGAATGGAATCACTGGCCAATACGATCCCTAAGAGCGCCACGGGGGCACGCAGCTCCCCTCTGGTCCAGGCCTTTATCCGCGAGCTGCTCATCGGCCAGAACCCGAAGGGTTATGCAGTGCTGTGTCAGGCCATTGCCACGGCCCCGATGATCGACTACTCGGCGATCACAGCACCGTTCCTGCTGATCGCCGGTGAGGAGGACAAGTCGGCATCTATGGAGGGATGTCAACACATCTATGCGCGGGTGTCAAGCGAGAACAGGCATTTGGAGGTGCTTCGAGGCGTTGGACATTGGCACTGCGTGGAGGCGCCTGAGGCGGTTGGACAGGCGATTGCCAGGTTTGCTGATTCTCACATGAGGGCAACCACTTTTTGGTGAGGTAGAGTTGGTATAAGTATTGATAGGATTGTTGTCTTGGAGATTGGCTATTTCTATGGATGATACATCAAGCTATCTTATTTAACAACACTATTGATTCTATCCATTAGTGATAATAACACGACTGACTACATAACTCCTATACTCACTCGATGCAATATGTAGTACATGCCAGCTAGTCCAAAACACAGCTGAAAAGCGGTCAGACCTGTCCGTATAACATTGATTACTTACAGCCTATGATCACCTTTCCCCCTCCCCCTACCAAACCCAACAAAGCCCATGCAATGAATAAAATGCATAATTCGCTTCACAACATACATACAATACAAAAGCCAAACCGACCCCCACCACCACCATACCACACCCAAATCACCCCTCCCTACGCCAGTGTCTGCGCCGGCGCCGGCGCCGGCGCCTTCACCAGTTTGACATCATACTGCAACTCAAGACCAGCTTGAGGATCATCCTTACGGGGCACGAAATCCACAATAAGTGAGTCCTTGACGGCAAACACGGAGTCATTCGTCAGGTACTGATCCTTGGAATCGAAGATTTGCGTCGTGAGGGGTTTGTAGTTTTCGTAGGTGGCCTTGCCACATATTAGTATGCCTTCACTTCTTGGGGGGGGGTATACATGGAAAAGGAAAGGGGGTTATACGCACAATAATATGAATATGCGCCGGCCGGAACGGATGTCTATCCATGAGTTTGAGGAGTTTACCCGCGGGTCCTAAAAACCAATCACCCATTAGCCTCACTTCACCCAACCCATCAAAAGGGATGATACATACCATCATCCGGCACCGGATACGGCGTCGGCCTCAGACAATAAAACGCATACCTGCCCTCCTGATCGGTGCGAAACTTCCCCCGGAGATTAAACTCCTCCTGGTCCGGATCCTGCTGCTCATACAACCCATTCGTGCTCGCCTGCCAGACCTCCACGGTGGCGCCGACCAGCGGCTGCTTGGTCTCGAAGTCCAGCACGCGGCCGTGCATGTAGGCCATTTCGCCCGGGATGGGTGTCGGCGGGGTGAGGACGATGTTGGCGCCGTTGGGGCGGTAGGGGGTGTCGGCGCGGAAGAACGGGCCCAGGATGGCGGTTGCGGTGGGGGCGTCGGTGGCTTCGGAGGCGAGGGTGTATGTTATTTCGTCGACTAGGCTATCATTCTTTCTGTTAGATGGGTGGTGGTTTGAGGCGGGGCGGG